ACGCGGGAGCAGGATCGGAGTCGCGACGAAGAAGAAGAAGAAGAAGAAGAAGATAAGAAGAGGAAGAAGAAAAGAATAACAATAATAAAAAGAAAATTGTCGTCGATTACTTATCTGCGTGGTGGCAACGACAATGTCGGGGATGGCACGACGCGACGACGAGGACGACGGGCACGACGATGGCGACGTGGCATGACGACGACGAGCGCGACGGTGACGATGATGTCGTGGCACGACGACGACGATCGCGGCGATGACGATGATGACGTGGCACGACGGCGACAGTCACGACAATGACGTGGTGCTACGACGACGATGATGGTGATGATGGTCAGGTGGTGACGACGAAGCAGGGTGGGTCGGGCGGGTTCGAACCACTCCGATACCAGTGTGACGGGGCTGAGGCAACGAGGCTGGGAGAGAGAGGGAGAGAGTGAGAGCACACACACACACTCAACTCGACGCAGACTCGACACGACTCGACGAACGCAGACACGAAGTGGTAAAGTCGCAAAGTCGAAGTCTTGGATTTCCGAACACAATGTCGAAGCAAGTCACACCGAGTACGAGTATAGCAGAAAACTGGTACGAGACTGGTCCCGGTACCGTACGGGGAGCTGGTATAAGTACCGGTGACACGTACGATACCAGGGGCATTTCTGCAAAGGCCCCGAGGGCAGAACTGAAAAATGCGGTATTTGAAAGTGGTGCCCGAATTGCAGCATGGCGCCAGTTGTCCAAAATCCTACGGTACCAAAGGAGGGGTTCGGAAAAAGGGTGCCAGGCTGAAAACGGGATGCAACCGAAACAGCAAAAAGATAGACCAGGGATCGAGCCCTGGCGGAGTCTGTAACACTCATCCTTCTTATCACCTGAGAACGTAGAGAATGGCTTTAGTGGGGTTTGGGGGTACCAATGTTGTTGTTGTCCCACTTGTGGGACCGACTGTTGTGTAGCACCAGCCGCTGTTCCAGAAGATGAAGAAGCAATAGTCTGTGCTGCTGCTGCCGACGTACTGCTTGGTGAACTGCTAAACTGAGACATAGTAGGACTAGTCAACATCGGTGAGAAAACCGACGATGGGAAAACTGAAGGCCGGAAACTGGGCCCACCTATTGGAGATGGGAAGGCTCTTCCCATTCCTTGCATGGTGCTCAGTATCTGGTCAAGGGTGTCCTGGATAGCATCCAGTTTGTTGTCCATGTATGCATGCATAGACAGGAGAACTGCCTTGAGATCAATGACAACGTCATCTAACCCTTCTATTGCAGCTTTGATTGCATCACTATTCTCTAGTCTAGCTTTCCTAGTTCTAATCTCTGTTTCTCTTTCAGTAGTTTCCCTAAGTTCTTTCTCTAACCATAAGTGGATCAACTCCACTCGCTGGAGTTCAATGGCTTCTCTAGTGTCTGGAGGCGGTGAGCTCTACTGCGAGCCCGCCATCTGGCTGGAAGAACTGCTTGTTGCCACTGTGTTGGATGTGGTCCGCGAAGTGTGTGGCATGCATACGCTCATCTGACTAGATGTAGTGGCTGAAGTAGCAGCAGAAGTAGCCATAGTTGTTGTAGTGGTTGTTGCCTCTGGTAGCGCTTGCTCGGTTGCTGCTGCCTCTTCTCTAGCCCTCTGTAAGCGTTCAGCTACTGCTTCCTGTCGCAAAGCCCTCTCTCCCCCAGGGGTAAAGCTTGGTGCACTATTGGAATCCTAAGGGACTTCTGACGTGTCACCCTCCTTCCTGCAGATCTGTTCTCACCACTGCCTGGTCCACTCGTCAGCCAGGCAGACGTCGTCTGCACTACTGCCCTCACTGGGGCCTACCACAACATGTGTCTGACCAAGCTGAAAAATAAATAAATATTGGGTAAGTTACCTAGGCTACTGCTCAAGCGGTATCAACGACATTCACACAAACTGTACACATGATCTACTCCTATCTTGACTAGTTTCACTCACAACAGCTTCGATCAGAACTGGCTATGGTAGAACACTACAATACTTTTCTAGGTTGTCTGTTAGGTGTCAGCAGTCTGTCCACCAACTAATCAAAAATAAAAATAAAATAAAACATGCACACAGATGTATGCACAACGGATATGTTTGTGATTAACAGTTGAGCGTCAATTGGGATCTCCATCACCCGTATCCAACGTGCCTGTCCACATCATCAAGCAGCGGTGTCTAAGGTGTGCATTAGTGGCCCACCCCTGTGCCCCAGGATTATGCTTATGACCAGTATTGCCCTTTCTTTATCCTCGCGTGCAACGAGCCTTACATCTAACTAATCTGGCTGATCAAGAGGCAGTTTAACGACAGCCCCCAAGGTCCTCGGAATTATTTAACATAACGGACAGGGCGACGATCACAACCAGTGGACAGTTCAAAACCCCGCCAAAAATATTTATAGACGGTCTGGTGAGCATCTGCATAGGACTGGTTAGTCCGCACATCCCTCTATCAGCGCAGCAAAGAGCCTTAAAGGACAAAGCAGCATGGCCTGCGTGTACTACTATGCGTTGGCATGGCGACCGTGACCCGTGCTTCAACCAGGGCCCTTCAGAGGCACCGGCCTCTCCTGCTAGATGCGCCACCGGGAAGAATGTCGTCTCTCAAGGTAGAGCGCTCACGACTCCTCACAAGGAGAGGACACTCAAGGTTGGACTCACTTCCTCACGGTAAGAAGAGATTGAGAGGGTAGATAAGGTAAGGGAACAACGTACCTGGAGATGGCTGCCCCCAACCACAGATTTCTCACCAATCGAGTCAATGTGCATTTCAATGACCGGTTGTAGCTTCGGTACCACCCACAACGCAATGCAGTGCCACGTCAGCCAAAATGCCACACCAGTATGCTCTCATCATGATACATACATCCGCTGTCGCCACAACTCCCACGATGTCGCCACAGCCTTCCTGCGACGCACCCCTCTACCCGGGTGTCGCGTTGTCAAACCAACGCCAATGTATCCTCACTGCACAGAAGCATCGGCAGCGCACCAAGTAACAATGCCCCCGGCGGCAGATAGGCGATCTCAAACC